TCCTATCATACAGTAAGTGGGTGGATATGTACTGTATGCGCGTCTGTGGAATAGTTTTAGCTGTGTAGAAATCGCATAATCTCACGTTTCCCTGTTTTGTTGTATTAGATAGTACTACCTTCCAGCTGAACACGTTCACTGCAACTGGACTACTGACGTTTAACGCTACATCAAAATACCTAAACGGTTATTTACAGCATTACTAAACGGTTGTTAGATAATGCTATTCAATCAAAATAGCTCATTTAAAGTAACGCTAAAGTGAGCTCTAGCTAACACTGTTTGCCCAAATTCAAACAAAGACAGTGCAAATATATGTAACGTTTACTTGATAACTCACTCTTTTCGCAACAATAGAAGGCATCATTTTAAAACGATTTCTTTTTCTTTTTCAAAATTGTTACAAATGTTACTGAACGTCAGACAAAACAGTGAAATAGCAAGAGTCACGTGACAGGAAGCTAACGAGGGGGCACAGGACACACATTTGCAAAAGTTTAGTAGATACATTTTGGCCACCGGAAATGGCATATTCATTTTGCATGGTATGGTTAACGTTTATTGCCGACTTAGTATGTGTTGTGTAATTAATGTAATTTACATTTCCTCCATGTTAGAACTTCAAATGACTTGACTATAGGAACCAAATATTAATTGTTGTCAACCGGTTACCTATCTTTGTTGCACATGAACGTTCACGAAGATTAGCAACAATAGCATTAGCTGATGAAAGAGCCAGCCATGGTAAGGAGTAGATACTTGTACGTGTACTGATATTTAAAAAGACCTTGCGTGCATTTTCGAAGTGTTCATTAAACTATGATATCTTAACTTATGTTTTATTATCGGGTTGTCATATTTTGATTTAGCTAAGTCTGGCTAAGCTACTTCGTTTTTGTAGGCTCGAGCGAAACGATGGTTAACGTTAGCTGGCGTTACAAACAAGGCGTAACGTTAACTTTAATTAGAATTCCTGAATATTGGTAGTGCACCTGTTGTCAGTCTCCGCTGATAATTTGTGTGCAAAATATACTACAAACAAGAAACTCAACAAGCTGTAGTGCTATCAACTACATTATCCTAGGCCCTCGGTATGGCAGCTGCAAAACCTGCAGCTGGACCAAGTGCTTCCAAGAAAGGTCTCATAGGCCTTTACAGTGACCGGAATCAAAATGACGAGGTGAGTTTGATGTTAACATATTTTTCACCGCAGCAAATGCGCCAGTGAGAACATCAAAGGGGTGTAGATATGCGATTTAAAGTATCGGTGTACTGAAAACATGTTTAGAGTTATCTTTTTCTTGCATGCAGGACTATAGAATTGGATCCGTAAGTTACCTTTTCTCCAACTTTATTTTTCCAAGAAAAAAGTTCATCCTTAAAGCCCACCAAACTGGGTCTTGTGAGATATTTACGTAAAGTAATCAGGCTGTTAGTATGCATTATACTTCATGTTCTGCCAAAATGTTTGTATTACAGGCGCATTCCAGAATTGGAAGTATTAGAACGAACCCCTATCACTTTCAGCATCAGAGCCCTAGGATTTCCTTATGTTCTGGCAGTGTTTTCTTCGTTGATGCTTTGAATATTGAGATACACGGGTTGGCAGTATGCACGATGACCTTAATATTTTCTGTCCCACACAGGATTTGGACAGAATTGCTGAAGCAAATGAACTTTTCGATGCCGTTCTGACTGGTTCAGTTGATCGGGACAAGGAAGTTACTACCAATGTGTCCTCTTCTAAGGAGACGCCAGCTAAAGTGGAGGCTAAATCGACAGCAGGAAAACCCCCAAAAGGAGGACATTCACTGAGGAAACTTTCTTTATATATTGGAAATTTCTCCTGGGTGAGTGACACTAACACTGTGTTAATGTTAATTACTCTCTTACTGTATTGTCCACTTCTGTTGTTTGGTCTCTGTACATGAAACAGAGAAGAGAAATAAGCTCTCCATTCCTCAGTTTAAAAAGCTTAACAAAATGAGCTATACTGAAATGCAGTATGAGCAGATGGACTTGGCAAAAGGAAGAAAATATTTTTCATTTCAAAATCAGTCTTTGATGAGTCATCTAATTGCATGTACTGTAGTATAATGCCAAGTTAAATAAAAACATTTCACCAGATTGACATAGTCTAACAGTGCCAGTTGTATAAATAAATGGAAGTCTTCATGGCACAGTAAAAATCTTTAAGTACTTCTGAGAATAGCTTAAAATGTGCACCTGTTTTCCATCATCTTCCGTCTGCGATGTGCACCAGAAGCACCATAGGTCACACTGAAGTGAACAGAGGTGTGCAGTACTATAGTTCATACTGGTGTTATACTGTGATGATTAAGTGTTCTCTTAATAATTTTGAGCAGTGTATTTGGAACAATTTAAACTTTTTTGAACATATGGCTTTAATTATGTATATGCCTACTTGTTGTAGTTGCATCTCATTTAGAAAGAACAATGTTGCAAAGTTTGTAGAAAGACCAGACCAGTGTACAAAGCATAACCCTTGTTAAGGTACCAAGTCCAGAAAAATGTAACTGATTTCTGCCTTCCAAGGATTTGCAACACTTGAGACATTTTTTTTATTATAATGTTTCACAAACACTGTACTAACATTGGAAAGTAATAAAATATACATTTAAAGGAAATCATTTAACACAGTTATTAGAAAAACAAAAATCATTTATTCACCAAAGATCTCCAGTGGATGTTTTTCTCACCCCTTCTATCTAAACCTAATATTTCTAGTGGACATCTGACAAGGACCTCTTGTGCATGGCCCAGAGGTTGGGTGTAAAAGACATCACAGAGATCAAATTTGCTGAGAACAGAGCTAATGGCCAGTCAAGAGGGTAAGTGGTTGCAGATGTAGTGTTTATAAAATATAAAGAAATCTTCAAAACAAAAAAGCATTTTCTGTGGTTGACATAAGTGTTGTTTCATCTGCTCTGTCATACAGCTATGCAGAAGTGGTGGTAACCTCAGAAGAGTCATTAAAAATATTATTGGAAAAAATACCCCAGTGTGAACTCAATGGAGATAGGATAGACTGTCGCTTTGCTACTCGCCAGAACCTCGCTGTGTTTGAGGACATTGCAAATAAACGTAAGGGCACTGCAATCCTAAGAAAATACTATTGAATTTGCTGTATATTATAAAATGCCAGTATGACTGTCATCTTTGTCCACACTGTGTTTTCTATAGGTATACCCCTGCGTGTTAATTCCACAGATTCCAAGGACCCTGAGTCTTCGGGAACAATTCCCTCATTATTAATACGGCAGCCCAGCCCTCCCCCGATACCGTCACTGTTTCAATCACATCCGTTTGCAGAGAGGTTTCCCGGTCCTTTCCAAGCTCAACCGCCACTTCTCTTTCCACATATGGCACCGAACATCCCTCCGCCTCTTCCTCCCCCTTTGTTCCCTCCTCCAGTACATGTTCCTGGTCAACCATCTCCCAGTCTGTACTTAAATCCAGCATTCTTGGCCCTGGGACAAGATGGGCACAGCAGTAAAGCTTACAGCCAACAAGAGTGAGAACACACTGTTTTATATTTATAGCTATAGCAAACTACAAACAATAATATATTTTTTTCCATTGAAATAATATGAAACCTAATAATACTGTTGTGTAAAGTAGACCAGCAAAACACCAGGACAGAAAGAGCAATACAAAATACGAGCAAATGCAGATGGAACATACTGGGGGGGGGGTCAGTTTCACAGTAATTATGAAAAGCAGATATTTTTATTAATAATGTTATGGTGGCTAAATAATTGTCTGTCAGTATGACAACAGTCTGATTATTTTTCAGGCACACACCTCAAAGTACAGATTTTGAAGAGCTGATGAACAGAAATAGAGCTGTAGCCAGCAGTGCTATCACCAAGGCAGTGTCTGGAGCAGCAGCTGGTGAGTACAGCAGATGAGATTCAGTGAAGTGGAAGAAAGCATACAATAAGTCATGAAATAGGACCTACCAATGACTGACAGATTTTTTTTTTGTGTGGTGTTTCCTCAGTCATAATCCCTAGTCCCTGCCACTGAGAAGCATCATTGCAGCACTGAAACCACCTTATTTCTGCACAGTGATTATAGTACTGTAGTTACTTGATGAATAGGGATCGTTTTCTCTTGACATTGCATGAAATTAATGCACAAGCATGGGCAGTCACATCTTCAAGACTCAATTTTTTTTGGCTTTTTGGAAACATGCCTTTTGTTCTTGAGTGGCTTCTACTGAGTGACTTTACCATAAAGATTTGAGATGAAGTGTCTTAGTGGGCCTCCAGAACAGCTCGGCACTGGTTCTACAAGTCTCTGAACACTCTGAACTGGAGGGATGAACACTATTCCAAAAGATATTCTGTCATTTGGTGTTTTGATGATGGTGGTGGAGATGCTGTCTAAAATCACTCACAGGTGTTCAGTTCATCTTGGAAGAGCCCACTCATTTACTCAGGTTCTTCCTTAAATTTGTCACCTGTTGATATGTAGGTGAAGAAGGTGTATTGTGGGTAGATTACTGCCTAAAATGATCCACTTGAAATTAGTCACAAGATGGCTACAAAAAATGTGAAAGATGGGCTGAAGTCACTGTCTTTATTTCTGGATGTACAGTAGGTGTTACAGGAGATATAGATGATTGAAATGTTTCTCAGCTTTATACCAGACTCTGGTATTACTCATTGCTGGATGTATTCATGCAAGGAGTGCCATTAAAAACAAAGACTAATGCAGGCAACAGTATTTCTAAGCAGAAAGTGCCTGATGCAAATGGTTGCTTTTGTTATAAATACTGTATGTAACATTGGGTTATGATAGTGAGCTCTAAAGGTGACCTAGCTGACAATATTTTTCAGAGTGAGTGTCTGAAATTTCTGCTGAACTTTACTGTATATGGGGGTAAATGTGATCCGTTTCACAAACTGTTTATTAACCCTAATCTTGAGAGCTCTGAAGTGCCCTCTCTCTCTCTCATATGTAATCTTTCTAACTGCCATTGCAGGAGACTTGCGAGTGGCCATGGAGACTTTGTTAACTGCCATTGCCATCGTTAAGCAGTCCAGAGTATATGGAGATGAACGCTGCCAAGCCTTGGTCACCTCACTCAAAGATTGTTTAGTCTCTATCCAAGGCAACTACGGATACAGGTTTGTATAATTATGCTTCAGGTTTCACGGACATGATGCTTCTCATTTAAATACTGTACAGAAACTGAAGCAGAGGAATGAATAAGGATAAGCTTATCAGTCTGTATCGGACAAAAACACCTTTTTTGTAGGAGCAGTAGTCGTTCTGGGGACAAAGAAAGAGATCGTGACAGGGGTCGTGACAGAGAGCGGGAGCGCAATAGAGAACGTGACAGAGAGGATTCTTCTGGTTGGGAGGGTGCAGGAATGTCTCGAAGATACAGAGAACGTTCCAGGAGCAGAGAACGGGACGGGGAACGCTCACGGGAGCGGGAACGGCACAGAGATCACAGAGACCGATACCGCTGACTTGGTAAGCTTCCCACTAGTTTGTTTACTTAATCACATTTAATTTACATTCATCAGACTGTTTAATTATTTGCTCTGTCTTTTATTATCAGTCAATTTGTTGTGTTCCTTAGTGTACTGTATTATATGGAGCTTCTGAGCCTCAGAAAAATGTCACAGAGCTTTAAAGTGACGGCTTCCTAGAAGGTGGAAAACATGACAGTTCCTTAGAAATAAAGCCACTCTAAGTTGATCGTCCCCCTGGCGGCTGGTTGCAGTATAAATCATAAACTCCACCCCCTCCTCCTTAGCAAATGGGATATGAGCTAAAATAAAAATTCAAAGTAAAATAAAATTTTTCCTAAAGATGATTTGTCATCAGATGCAGACATTATCACACTGGCTTGTCTACAAGAGGTTGTTTTTCTAATACGTTTGTTTTTAATAAGTTTATGTGATGATATAAAAAGGGTTGTGTTTCAGATCACTTGATGGCTTTGATCGGTGGACTGATAATACAGCTCCATCTCTGGTCACTACAAAATGCACCACAAAAGCTAGATGGTCCCCCATGTATTCGGGATATTTTGGCTTCAATTTTGTGTAGTGGCAGGACGTGGTGATCCGTCATCCATTTATATAGTACCGTCTATCTTTTGTATCTAAGCAAAGGTCACCAGCTACAACTGGACTCCAGTCATGGACTGGGCAGTCCTGAGCAAATACTAAACTTTAGCAGACTGCCCTCCAGTACTTGGCATCATTTAAATGGAATGAGCTTTAAAATTCAAGTCTCGTCCCGTTGGATGAATCTAAACTTGTCATTATAGGACTTCTTCCTTCATAGTTTCTGAGGCTATTTATATGTGCCTCTGTGTTACAGACTGTGATGTACAGTATACTTTGTATTTCTTCACAGGTCTCTGTTGCAATACAGTTCTTGATCTCAGTACAGATTTTATTAAGTCACTGAGGTGGATTATATCACTTTATCTGATATCACAAAATCAGATGAACTTTTTTTTTTATATTAGTACTATTCAGGAATAAGCAGTATAGGTACTGGATGGATATTAAAAGTTAACACAATCCTCTCACAGGCTCGCTCTACAGTATATACTGGTAACCAAGTAGTCCATATTTGTTTTTTGTAAATGTGGCTTTGAAAAATATGCATTTTGTCCCTAGGCTGGTGGTGTTTCCATAAGTGTGAAGCAGAGAGAAGACAGGACTTTTTGTTTCTTCAGCAAGTTGTGTAAAAATCTGGAAGAATCTAAGGTGAGGTTGAGAAGTGTCCACAAGTCCGAAGTATAGTTTTTTTTTTTTTTTTTTGTCCAGTCATCTATACTTTGTGGGACTTTTACCTGTTTTATGACCAAAAAATGTAGTTGCATGCATTAGGACACCTCCTAATAACTTAAATAATACAGTGTAATGTTCTTGTCATTTTCTTTTGTATTAAATAATACAAAATTAAAAACATTTGCTGAAAATGTAATATCAGTGTTTCATTTCCTTAGGCATTTATATTACACCAGTGAGGACCACAACAATCATCTTATAATTACCTATATCTGTATTCTTGAACTGGTAAGGCATTTAAAAGCAGAATTAGAAGCAGTTAAAACACCTTAGTGACTTAGTGTTGTACACTTCTATTGCCATCAACCATTCTGACACTGGCAGATACTGTAAAAGTTGTTCAAAAACTTATTCACTGACAAAGGTTTTGGTTAATCTGCTTTTTGTAAATGTCAATGGGTGTCTAAAATGAATAGAATCAGTACAGACATCATGTAAAAATACCAGCAGTTAATTCTGACCCAAGAGTTGAGGTGCTGCTTTGTTTTAATACACAGTGCAGAGACATAGCACAAGTGTGTAGTTTCCAACTTCAAGTCCTGCTAAGGCAGTAATATAGGTGACAATGTAATTTTATAACGTTTATTTAGGAAAATCTCATATACATGCAGGATAATGTTCCAGAAAACAATGTGGTCTGCATTTGTGACGCATCAATATAACGTGAATCTGTCCATGCCACAGCCCCATCAAGTCCATGCTGTTTTTGAAGGCAGCCAGTTGCCATCACTTCTCCAACGGAGCATAATTCAACAATTTCTCAATAAGATCCACGTGAGAAAGGAGCATCCTCCGACAACAATATCTCTTCAGGCCCAGGGCATCCAGGGCATCACTTACCAGGGAGAGAGAAAGGTGTTGTCAGTAAATATGCATGGCATACAGATCACTAGAGAAGTTAAGATCGTGGATACTTATGCATACACTAACCAAGATCGCCCAAATGGCCACAGGTTGTTGCTATTATTCGCTACTGTTTGAATCTGACTGTAGACAACTGAATAAACAAGGGAGCAAACGTTACCATGTGACAATTGAATATGCTAAAATACCATCTCACCCCTCAGTATATTCGGCTTGAAGAAGGCCCAGGTACGCCTCCCACTTGTTACCCACGATCTTCCCACATGTGAAGCACCGGATTGGGATGATCATTGTAGCAACGTTATACCTGAGGACAGAGGAACATCACAGTGTTACCATCAATGCCCGGGTGCTAACGTTGTACTAGCAGGACAGTTGGCTAGCGTTGATTAACTGGTTATTGCTAGCTTAACACAATTTCTTTCATGAAAGTACCGGCGTGGCTAACGTTTAAGCGGTAGTAACTTAGTCAGCTTTAGTAATAAAGCAGATACGCGGTGGTAGAATCCACTGGAACGTTAGTTAAATCCCGTTGTTTAAACTAGATGGACTGTAGCCACGCGATTAGCACAACAGTAAAACAGTTAGCTAATGTTTGTCGCTAGAACGTTGCCACGTGTTTACACAGTTATTATCAAGCTATACAACAAACACGTCTAAAAATGACTAGCTTTATTTACTCACCGTCACAAATCTAGTTTACATAAAGTGTAAATATTAAGTTATTATAAATGAGACCAGTTGCGTCCTACTTGCTTCTGCCGCAACAACAGAAAGATGACTTCTTGTGCGGTTGACGAGCAGCTTTTAGGAGCATTACCGCCACCTTCCGGACTGGAGTGTGGATCAGAATGACTACGATGTGTTGCTTTAATAATGAAACTGTGATACTAAATACTGCCATAAACCACAATAATTATTTTCTAAAAATTTGAAGTGTCCTGTATCTTATATGGCCTGAACTCTTCAACATTTCTTTCAAGTTAAATGCTATAAGTTTTCTTTCACTTTTGTCTTTCTCTATTGCTATTATCTAGACAGTGTAAAAATACATGCCCCACTGTTTCCTGTTTCCCAGAAAACCCAGTATTAAGCTTCTTTTTCTGTATATGTTTGTGACCAAATCTCATTCTTTACATCTTCTATTTTTACCAATTCCTCTAGCTTCTCCTGCTTTGATTTACTGACATTTGCTTGCTTTTTTGTGTGTGGTTAAGAGTAATTAAAGACATAATGACTCTTGATCACAATATACAGTGTTTTGCAGCAGAACCATAAACAACAAAATGCATCCGTACATACTCTGAGAAAAGTGAACTCAAATTGCTGTCCCATTGTTCAGGAACATGAAGTATTTAAATTTCACACTGGATATTTTTTTAGGTGATGTTTGTTGCTGTTACATGCAAAGCCTGTACCTTGTCTGTAATTGTTACATTTTTTTTTGTGTTTGTCTTTAGAAAACAGCCTTGGATTTTGATGACTGCACTTTTTTGGTCATATAGCTAAATCTTACAGGATAGAACATTTTAAACATGCAAATCTCAAAATGTTTTCATTTGCAATGGTAATAGATTGCCCTGTATTTCAAAATCAGATATGTAACACATTCAACATAAATCACAGGTAGCCTTAAAATTAGGACTTTCCTAAAAGTTAAGCAGAGAGTGCAGGTGTGTCAAAAAATACTCACTTTGGGCTGGTTCACTGCCTTTAATAAAGTTAGAATTACAACCTCTTACTCTTTTACATTTAAGAGCTTGGGGGCAGGGGCAGTGTGCATAGGGAAAATATATTAGAAATATATCATGGCCATCATTATAATCATTACAGTCACCAAAACACCATTATTACCATAATCATCATCCATAACGTCACTGCCATTTCTGTCACTAACATCACACATCATCAACAGTATTTTTACATTATCATTTATGTAATTTAACTTGCTACAGCACGTGCTAATGAGGAGTCCTATCTGAATTATTGCATTTATACGCTGTTGAATTTATGAAAGTAGGATTTCTTTTTTTTTGGTACACTGTATTGTACAATGTAAGGTGAAGTTTGTTTTGGTGTTGGCTTACTATCTTTTGGATGTGTTTGGGGTGTTGTGCTGAGGTGAATGTGGTATGATCATACAATATTTTTCATCAGTAATATGTTGTGAAATTCATACATACTCTTACAACTAAAATCAAGTAATGGTGTGTGTCAGAACTGTCTGTAATCTACTTATGCATCAGGGACGTCTGCATGAGCTTTACAAGCGAGTGAACAATTTTGTTTACAGCTGTACAGGTGTGTGTGTGTGTGTGTGTGCGCGCGCGCGCGCGCGCAGCAATGACGGTGTGATTGCTTGACATGATTTTCCTTTGAGTAAACTATACAACAGTATTTAATCAGCATCTTACTGTCATTGTGTTGGCAACCTAGAATGTTCTTACATTATAGCTAAAACAAGATTTTTTTCCTAAAGCCACATAAGAGTAGCACAGTGAAGACAGAAACAGCTCCCATGTTTTGGCATCAGGTTTTAAACCTGATACTGCAACACTAATGGCTATTCAGCCTGCTACAGCTAAGTATCTACTGTAGGATGTAAACATATTGAACTGGCACAACCTTGGTTGTGTAAGACATGAAAGGTTATTGATTTATGACATCATTTGACAGTAAAATAAAACGTGTTCTTATTCTACAGCTAAGAATAACTTCACTATTCTTCTCTGCCACATACTGTACATGTTTAATCTCCAACAATTTCCTACATTCAATCCCTAAACCACTGCTTGCTTATATTTTCTCTCTCTGAAATAGCTGATTTCTTAAAATTGCACTGTGCTATTCTGTTTGACTTTTCTTTTTTGGATATGTAGGGACAATGGTGTGTCTCTCTCTTGCTACTCTGAAAAAAGACAAACTTAATCCCTTCACATGGGCATTGATTTAGTCCAAATATGTGCAGTACATCACAATGCATATTCTCAGCTATTTTCATGCTTTCACTTGTCTTATTTAAAAGTAAAATAAAGCCCAGAAACATCTCTGAGAGTCAGAATCAACATTATGAATACAACGTTACATAACCTTTTAGCAAAGTGTGAACCAAGCTCATTTTCTATGCAAGAATGCACAAATATTGCAAGTTTAAGTCAACATTTGTTCAAACTGGATTAAATAATACAGTTGAATAAGCCACCTTTACAGAGTTTAGTTGAGTTTAAGATCAGTACTACAGTGTGAGATTTTTAAGAAATTATTACAGTTCAGATGCAGTACTGAAGCATCTTCATGCATATACTATGTGTAATTATGCTCCATATACAGCCTAGATTAAAAGTTGAATGGTTCAATTTACTAGTGAGTCAAAGCAGTATGGGAAAAAACAAACAGGAGATGCACAGTGGCTCCCCATCCCCCATCTGTACCATCTGTGAACCAATCAGTAATGTTGTTCTAACTCATCAACCAATAAATACCTTAACCTAAAAGAATGATTTGGTTTTACTTTCTTCTTGCCAGTAGCAACATTCCCAGCAAGATGGCTCCTGCAGCAATAACAGCACCACCAATGAGAAAGGGTTTCAGGTGTTCCAGAGAGTCTGTGCCAGAGGCTGCAGCCTGCAGCTGCCTCAGCTCCTGGTGCCCCATCCTGGTGAGGAGAATGCTCTGGCCCAGGGACTGCAGGTGCAGGGTCAGCCTTGCGTGGGACTGCTTGCTCCTTTTTTTCTGCTTTAGATGCTGCCTTGGGTGCTGGAGCCCCGGACTTGGCCTTGGCTTCCATGGACTCTGACAGAGGTATGGTCTGGTCAGGCAGAGTCTTTATAAAGTCAGCTCTGTGCTGCTTCACTGAGGAAAAACAGCAAATAAATACAGCCAGATTATCCCTTTAAATTAGGCTCAGACATCACGTTATGTGCCCTGTTGAGAATAGAGACACTGGCACATGAAAGAGCCCTTACTAGACATTGTATTCACTGCACAGTAGTGCAGCAGTCATGTGGCAGTCAGGCCTTAAATGTGACCTTGGGAAAATATGACTTGATGGGAGCACTCTGATGCTCAGAGGGACCAGGAATTGTTTATTTTGGCCACAGATACTGCAACATAACCCTCCACCAGAGACAATGTTATGGCAGCTTTTTGTGTAAAGCTTTTTTATGGGACAATCTGCTAATGAAGGAAGAGACAATGACACTTCTAGTCAGTGACCAAATATTTATTATTTTTACCCTTACAAGAGCCTAATCCAGATGCAATAAAATAAATATTTAATCTCCTTCCCTGTGTAGCTCCCTGGATCTCACTGTAAAACGGAGTCATATGTGCTATAAATGGAGGACAAGATGGAGGAGAGAAATAAAGACCACAGTGACTGCCATGAAGGAAACCGGTGAATATGCAAATGATGAAAAATGCTAAAGAAGAATAAATAATACTGCTTCATAGCAGCTTGCACTTTACAGAGTAAAGGCTGGATACGTCTTTACAAAAATGCTTTCTTTTAAACCCTGCAGTGATGTGATTAAATAGATGTTGCATACCTGTCAACAGCTCTGTAGAGATTACAGGAGTAACAGATGGAGGGTGAACCACAGCAGTTTCTGAAGTCAGAATATCCTAAACATAAGAAAACGAGAGAAAACCCAGAGATGGAGGACACTAAAATCATGAGGGAGGATAATGAGAAGGAGAGGAGAGACTGGGATGTACCATCTGGTCCTCAGAATAGGGGGAGTCTATTCTTGGATACATCCTGCAAAAACAAACATTCCTAATCTGGGGAGTTTTTTTTTTTTTTGGCTGTAAAGGTTAATTCAGTGAGGCAAAGCCCCATATTTGATTATCTCTGCAATCGTTATATATTATACCACATTACACATAGGATCTTGAAATCATTTTGTCTGCTAATTTTTGAGCTACAGTACAATAGGAGCCAGTGTTTGGATAATGACTTTTGCTCTGGCTCTATTATAAAAATTTTTTAATGTAGGCTACATATACAATGGGTAACAAACATTAGTTCCCCCCTCTCTTATGCATGCATTAGATAAGAGCTCTCAAGTGGTAACTGTGTATATCATCAAAATCTACTGGAAGCCTCACTCCTAGCACTCTTTAAAAAATGCAACAGGGGACTGTGTGTGGCCTGGTAGTATTCATGTTGTGGGGTTGTAAATCTATTTACACAGTCACACTGTGAGGACTCAATGTCCTTGTGGCGACAAAAAGCAAGTCGCCAGAATATAAATTATTAAAAATTTATTTAGAGCGATGACTTAAGTTAGGTGTTAGGCAAGTAGCGATCAGAGTAGGTCTCCAGAAAAAATGAGTCAGGGTAATTGACGTGTGTGTATTACGTCAAAATCATAGAGCATCAGTAGTCATGCCAGTGTTTAGTGCACTACTTCTCTCTGTTTCACAATCCAGTGATACACCACAAGTTAGTTTACTGTTCTTTTTTTTTCTGGCTGGATACGTCTTTACAAAAATGCAAAATTTATAAGAGCTCTTTGCTTCATGTTAAATGTTCTACATGAGTAACAGTTTTCTCATTATAACCTAATGCTGTCTGAGAATGTCCACATTAATTAAAGACAGAATAGGAATCCATAATGGCAAGTTCAGTTGTCATGCATTGCATTAGCATTGTTGCAGAGGACACATTCAAACACTTCATTTGTTATTTTCAAATTACTAGTGAGCAGAAGTTGGGAATCAGGCACTTCACAACAAAAGTGGCTACACAGGCAACCAGTACTAAAAACTAACGTGTGGTTTGTGGCAGTTAGAATAAGTTACAGTGTATAGGAGGATGGTAATAACAAGCATAGTAAGATTCAAAAGTGATTATATTAACAAACCGCTGATGGTTATATTGCCAATGTATGGTCAGCAATATATAGTACAGTGTAATGCAATACAATTTAAACTACATCTGATAAAGTGGCCATATATTTGAATTGTATGATTTAATTCTCATAGGCTCTAGTTACTTTATAAGCTTTAGTTACTAGTTACTTCTCATACCTTTAGTTCCCTTTAGGTATTTGTCACACATTCTCCTTGTCTATACATATTACAGCTGTATTGATGATTGTCCAGAACTACTAAGCATTGGTTATTCTCAATGTATTTAATTTCATTGCTTATATATCTTACAATTGTATTGATGAGAATCAAGTGATACTGAGGTAGAAACTGCCTGCTTCAACTTCTGTAGAGATGAGATGTCTGCATCTCCTAAGTGACCAGACAGCCTATTTACATTTTAACAGAGACAGGGTGGCCTGTTTTGCACTCACACCTAGACCTGCTTGGCGTGTTCCTAGTTCGGTTTTGTCTTGTGGTGTCCTGCAGAGGCCAGGTGCTGCAACCTGTGATGTCCACCTGGCCAGTTTAGCATACCTATTAGCATCAAACACACACACGCACGCGCGCACACACACACACACACACACACACACACACACACACACACATACATACCTATACCCATACCTAGATTTACCACATTCCAACATAGAAATGCGAGCTCTGGCTCACGCCAAACGGCCAATAGGATCACAAACTATTGAAGATTGCACCCCTGGTCAGGGCGGAGCAGCCCAAGAAGATAAATGTGTTGTAAAAACTTAATTTAGGATTCAGAAGACGGTTCTCCTGCGTGAGCTCTGTCTCTCTGAATCCAGCGCTGTAAGACTTTCCTGTGATCAGACTTTCAGTAAACTTTCTGTTGATTTTAAACAGTCCTCTCCTGTCCTCACTTCTCGTGCTTCCAACAAAAGAATTGGGTTAATTTCTAAAGGAATTATCACCTCTTCAACCAAAAGTGAGCATATGACTTGATTTATTGCTGGGCTGTTGTTAGACTGCACTAATTTTTAGCTTCATGTACCTAATAAACTGCCAACTGAGTGTATAAAAAATGTATTTTTTTATTCCTTTTTTCGGTTGTCTTGTTCTACCTTATTGACATGTGTAAAGCACTTTGACTGTCTGATTAACAATGTTTTAGCCAGTTCATCTTAAATATACCTATAGCCTATAATGGGATGAAAATCAAACAATAAAACTATCCAATGAATACTGTTTAGTAATCATTTTCCTCTTTGTACTTTGTTTTACACTAACAAATTAATTTCAGTGACTGAGTTAATAGCTGTACTATACACACACATATAAAGTTTGTGTATAGCCTAGGCTGAGAGGGATAGGCTAGTAAACTTTTGGTTGAACGTGATAAGTGAATTTTGATGGTTCAGCTATTTCATCTGGAGTTTTACTTTTAGTATTTCCCAAATATGTAACATTCCCAAATATGTAACAGCTTTTTTACCCTTATGTTTTCCACTGAACACACACTATTGGAAACTTGTAGCTACAGCTGCTGAGACGCACCCATATTTTTTTCCCATCCGTGGATGCGCCTAACAAGCCGGATGTGGCATCTATCTACGTGTGTAAATCTAGGGATACACGCCTAGTCATGTTTGTCCAAAGATGAGTGTAGTAAGTCAAGATGGTAATCTGTCAAGTACGGAGTTGTCGGTCAAATATTGTACGTAGTGGTTAGAAAAGCCTCCCAAATCAAGTCAGACACGAACCCGCGCGTTAAAAAACTCGAAAATGAAACATCAACTAGCCTTACCCTTTAAGTTCCAATTTAATAGAGAATGTTAAGGTACTGAACTCAGCTCTCATTTCGGAAGCTAACGCTAGCTAGCAGTTGTCTGCAGATGACACACTGCAGATGAATCAATTTCTGTCTTGTCTGTGCTTATACTGAAAACTAAAGTGGACATTTGACGTAGTTGAAACATCCGCTACTGTATGTAGCTGTATGGAATAGTGTGTATATATAGTTTTTGAAATTAACATATAAATGTATGTAGTGTATATATATATCTGATTGATAATGAGAAAGATGCTCATAATGGCGCATACCCAAAATTCAACACGGCGTGACAACCGCTTCACCTTCTCTATATCTTACCTTGATGTAAACACATTAGTAAATTTTGGTTTTGTGACATGAATCATGATGTGATATATGCTGACAAAATGCTTTTTAAACTTTATCTTGCGCACAGTGTCAGCTATCTGGGTCTGCCTTTGGTTACTATGGTAACGTATATTGCTTTGGGTAAATAGTAAACTGCACATGCGCATTAGTTTGAGTTGTTTGTAACAATTACACTCAAAGATTCCTCAAACTGTATGACAGCTGGTCAAAAAGTGTGTCAAAATTCCACCCTGGTGTCTGGGGTTCCTTCACAAAGGGATCTGTGGCAACCTCTTGAAAAACAAGAGCCTCTTTGAATGATTTACTGATTCATTGATATTCACAACCAGCGGTGGCGCCCTTTCTCCGCAGCATCTCCTAGGATCTGTGGCTGCCATTTCCAAAACCGCGTCGGGTGTGCGTAAACAAAACGGGATTTGCGCAGCCAACCATCAGCCACGGAAGGGGAATAGCCAAATCGTACGTATTTTTATGTGAGAGAAATGGCCGAGGGGATGGGCCAGATTCTCGGGAGACACTGTCTATCCGTGCTGGGGTTCGGGAGTTGTCCGGCTGGTGGTACACACAAGCTGTTGACTGCAACGCGAGACTCAAAGGGTTCGGCTTTTCGGTCCAAACCCGTAGGGACTGTTATCTTCTGTGAGTAGAAACAATCATGCCTAGGTCCGACGAGGAGACATGAAAAGACCCACACTCAGTGAACTGGCACAGCCGACGACGTGTTGCAGTTTACCAGAGTAGCCAAGCCGTCAGTCTCCAGTGGTTTGAAAACGACCGTGTAATTACTGAGGCTCTTTGATGGCATTTGTCAGGTTCGCCTGACACCAGAGGAAGCTCCAACTCTTTGACGTCTCGGGGTTCATTCATCATCCAACAGTTATAATGGCGTGTTTTACGTTACGGTTATTATAGTCCTTTCGACATTTATGAATTCATCCCCCTAAACCTGAGCTGGTGTTGGGGAGAGCGAGGCTGAGGCGGGTCGGCCGTCGGAAGGATATGGGAGAGCGAGTGGAACCGATGCAGCTGGTCTTGGCAAGGCATCGTCAAAACACAGGTGAGCAGCAGCTGCCGGCTGAGGAGACTAACTAACCTGATGGGTAAGATACACGTAGATATACAGTCTGCACATGCAAAGCAGCCAGCTCACCACGCCGCGGGCTCCGTGATTCGGTTTTTTTAGCTCCTGTTTCTTAGGCCACATCTCCATTAGCTAGGCCCGCAGGATGCCACCTTTAGCAGCTGTGCTGGTTAAATGAGACTAGACGGTGCACTGCCGCCGCCGCCGCCGCTGATAGACTTGCTGGAATCATACATTAGTATGCTGTCGCACATAGGGCTGCAGCTAGCCTTAGCCTCAGTGGTGTTTATTTGTCCATAAATCATTTTATTATATAAAATGTTAAAGTAACAAATGCCAATGACGTTACAAGAGCCCAAAGTGATGTGGTAGTTTCTTAACCTAGTTGGTGTGAACTGCCTAACCTAATTAAAAGACAGAGCCCATTACCAGTGTTTGTGTTGACTTTTTCTGCTTGTTTAGTATCTAACTGCTCAGTAACTTTGTCTTTTCATTATCAGGACACTAACCAGACACATAAAATATATTATCCAGACTCTTCTTGGTTGAGGAGTAGATGAGATGAATTATTTTTCTTTCCTGGTACAGCCACAATAAGCAGAATGTCACACCTGTTTATCTTACGCACCGCGCCGGCATGCGCCCGCCGAATTCCGACGTCACCTCCGCAGATTTGGAAAAGAAAGTAAAAACTGTGTGATATCGGGAATGTTTTTGTAATGTTGTAATGTTTCCAAGCCACGGATCTGACGTTCACATCAACTTCATACCTTGATCTTGTGGCTGCACATCTCTGTCTAGTTCTTCTTTCCCCCATACACAACAATCAGTGACACTCCTCATGTCAACCTTCTAGAGCTGTTCCCCTCAGTAGCCCAGGTGAACAACCCAGGTTTATGTCTGTTAACAAAGATATTATTGTCTGTTATCCAGCTCTCCCCACCCCCATCTTTTTTTACTCGGTGGTCGGTCAGTAATGGTGTTTGTAACAAAAAGTTCACACTTTGAGGGTCTTGAAATGGTGAAAAAAAGAAACCTCAGATTTAAAAGTTCATATAAATAAATTTCTTTTACCCTGCTCAAGATTACTTTAGTGCATTTTTGTGCGTACCTTTGCTCAAAAATATTCATTATTGGCTAAATTCACATTTTCTTTTACATTACAATCATAAATAAATAAATAGATGACTCCACAGATTTCCATCCTGAATAACCGCAGAAAACAGTTTTTAAAAAATCAGCAGATTCCGTTGGGGCCTGGTACAGAACATTTCACTGATAAATTTGTTCCTCCCTTTCTCATGACTTCAGTTGCACAGTTCCTCTATTTTCATTATGCTCATTCCAGTCAAAGGGCGTAACATTTCACCCTAAATGACCAGAGGTGTCAGCTGGTGTGTTGAGCTGTCCCTGCAAGTATAGCAAACATCTCTAAGGGCTTTGAAAAATAATATATTACAATCTAAGGTGGTGATATGACTTTTGAGCAAATGGGACAGTGTAATGAAATTCAGTATATCAAGATACAAAAACATCGCAAATGTATCGTTTTGGTTAGTGATATATATATATATATATATATATTGCATGGTCTCCATACACCAGTGACTTCATATTTTTTTGTAAATAAGACTAACAGAACATAAGTCAACATATCTGATTGTCCTATACATAATCAAACCAGCACTAGAAAAGGGGGGGGAAAAAGAGGAATAAAGTAAAAGTGTTCTGCAGCTCGTCACACATTGTCATTGAATTTTTAGTTGTGTTATGATTGAATCAAATTGTACACACCATATCATGCATCAGATTGTATCGAGGCAAAGTCACGTCATCCCATCCCTAGAATGCACCCTTTTTAAAACATTTTTTTTCATTTTTGCTTTATTTAAAACAATTTCAGCATTTCAAGCTCAAACTTGCTCTGCATCAGATACAGAGGCCTCTTAGTGGAAACCCTGTGCCTCCTGGGAATCTTGGCAGATCTGTTGCGTCTTTGAGGTGGTTCTGCAGGTGACTGATAACAATAATGATGGCACATATTTAGTTACTTGTGGTGTGCCAATCCTTCAGGAAATTATACAGCACAAATATGTATAGAATATGAAGGAATGAATGCTCAATTTGGACAGTAAATTTAATTGCATGTATGGAGTTGTGTTGCATGTGTAAATTCAGTAGAATTCAGATAAAAAAATGTTAAGGATGTATTAAAGACTGAGTAAAATAAAGCTGTTAAGAACAACCTACTTTATGTTATGATAACTGCTCAGCTGGGAGTGGAATATAGCACAACTCTAACATGACCAAAGACTAAGGTATAATTATAGATCCACAGCTGCTCCTTAAGACAGAAAGGTTGTCCTGTGATACAGCATAGCATCCTAGGCTGCTGTTCTGTCGCTCTGTGTTTATCCTCTCTTATCTGTTTTAATTTCTTCTGTCAAAATCCAGTGTCTTTTTGTTTCCCGCCTCTATTTTTTCATCCTCTAATTTTCATTTCTTATATGTCACAGCATAAACACTTGTGTTATGATGCTGTGACAATCATAAACCCACACTAAGGATAGCAGTAATGTACAGACCTTCACCACAGAATTAAAAAAAGGGAAATGAATTCCTGTAAGTTGTCTATTTAGTCTGTCTAGTTTTACATGGAGTTTTTAAGAAAGTGATTAACAGTGATATTTTCAAGTTTGCTGGTGCTAATAATATTGTTGTGTTCTGTGCATGTACAAGACTGAGTTGTGTCAGATTTTCCCTGTGTATTGTGGAGAAGTGATATCATAGCATATACCTTCATTTTAGACTTGTTTTTCAGCAGTGCATTATGGGACATGTGATCCAGATAAGTCACGAATAAGGGCATGTGATGACACTCATGAGACTTAATGATGTGACCGGTGTTTGCAGATGATTGTGTGTTTGTGTGTGTCCCCCCTCTCAGACAGATTAACATGTATGGTAAATATATTTATATATATAACCTGCAGAACTGGAATCATGTGATTCTGCATTGAAGCCATTAAAAGACAAGTGTGTGAAAAACACCAAAATAAAGAACCACAATACATTTTGCACATTCTGCTGAAAATCTATGACTGTAGTAGTGTGTTGTATGGATAAAAATGCTGTGCTTGTCTTCAGTATCTGACCAGAGAGAAACAGACCTGCACATGTTTTGTGGCAGCACGCCACAGACAGGTTGGCAGAGTACATATGTTATCACCCTACACAAATACACACATGTACCCACAAATACGCACATGCAGTCTGCAGTACACATAGTATTACATCAACCGAAAGAAGAGAAATTGGAGTGGGAAGAGGTGAAAGGGATTGAGTGGGTGGCAGTGGGAGAAAAAGATGGAGAAAGAGGCAGAGGGAGAGTAGGAGTGAGTGGCACATGGCTTTTAGTCTAAAAAAAGATGAGAAACACAAAACCAAAACCAGAATCTGGATTAGCTGGGTAAGGAAGAGGATATGGACAGGGGAAGGCTTGAGGAGAAAATGTAGGTTTCCTCTGCACGGAAAATGGTGCAGATGCACACACACTCAGTTTTATGGTTATAAATGTCCTCTAAAATATGAACACTGAGTGTGTGGGTAGAAGGCGAATAAGGATAGAGCACAAGGATGGGAAGATGGAAGATGAGAAAGGCAGAGAGTGAGATGGAGATAGGACGGGGTAAGATTCTATATGATGGACAGAATATTTGTGTAGTGTGACAGAATATGAAGAGACAAATCATGAGAGATAGCAGGAGCAGGGCTAGGGATGTGACAAATACTGCAGAGAATCTTGGTCTGAGCAGAGTGTAACATTGACCCAGGCAGAAAAAGAGAGAGACTGGAGCAGATGGATGACAGTGCAGAGGGCAGAGGAGATGGAGAGATTTGGGACTGTGCTGCAGTTGCGCCATCATGCCGACCCAGTGTAGCCTTAGCATTCTC